TTTTCCTTCTCAGACCACTAATTTTTTTTTTATTTTTTTTTTAAATTCTGATTTACTCCTGAAACTCAAGTTAAATCAAAAATAAAAATAGAGCGTTTAAGTTTAATAAAAATCCCTGCATAAAAAAGCTTAAGATCTCCTACTTCTGTTTTTAAAATAAGTTTAGCGTTGTGTAACTTATGGACAATCCTTTAAGAAATATAGTTCATTTGGCACAGAGTTTTTCAAAAGGATGCACCTTGAAGTTACTTTTTTTTTTTTCAAAATATAAAAGCTCATAACTAGTTGACATGCTCATTTGAAAATCTTACAATTATTTTTTGATTTTTACCCCTAGTATATGTATACACTATCGGCAGAAAGCTTGAGGTAGGTACTGAGTTTTTAGAAATAAGTTAATAAAACTAAACATTATTAACTATATTTTATCAAAAATTTCTAAATTTAACTTACGTTTTAATTAAATTTTTGATTTGTCATAATAACCTTCTTTATTCTTTTACACAGCTGCACATATTTTCGGCATATGATTAATTAATTTACGAAGTGTTTCAGATTGTATTTGATTCAATTTCACTTGTACTATGTGCCAAAGGTTATTTATAGAAGATGACTGCTCTTCTTGCACCTTCCTCCCAAATTCTTTCCAATGTTTCCAATTCTTTGATGTTCCAAAATGTCTTTATAAATTTCTTTTACTGTTAGGAGTAAACATTCTTCTGAATACCTTTCCCTTGCATATCTGTGCATGAAAACACAACATTTTGAACCAAAAATTTCATATTTAGACTCATCTGTTCAAAAAACGTTTCTTCATTGTGCAATTGACCAATATGCTTGTGTTTTAGCTCAATGTAGCTCTTTTGTCTTACTAACTGGCCTTAAAAATGGTTTACAAGCAGCTACACGCCCATGTAAACCAAATTTCTTCTGTCAATCCTTGACAGTGGAAGTGCTAATCTTAACATAATTTAACTAATTGTACACAGAGCTAACTTTTTCAACTGTGTGTGTGTGTGTGTGTGTGTGTGTGTGTGTGTGTGTGTGTGTGTGTGTGTAAAATATGAGATGAGAAGTCTCTTTCTAGAGGAAAAAAAACTACAAAATAAAGCACGCATATTACAATGTGTGCTTTCTATTGTTGTTGGTATCATGAAAATAAATGAAAGTTCTATGATTAATTTATCTTTGTTGATCTTAATAGTTATAGGATTTTAAACTATTGCTGTGTATTGACCTTTGTTATATTTACTTGATTGTTGTTTTTATTTCTGAGTAATTGTATATACCCGTTACTTGGTGATATCAGATACTGAATCCGGTATTGATTTTGTTGAATTTTCATAGAAATATTTGTTCATTTCATTGAAATATTAGTTCTGTTATCTTTAGATTACATTAAGACAATAAAGAATTCTAACAAATAAAATGTAAGTCTCTTTTAAAGATTTTGTTTTTAAAAAAAATTTTAATGTCATGTTAATTTATCATTTATTATTACTTGTCATGTTAATTTATCATTTAATATTACTTAGCTAAATAGTTCTTTTTCGGTAATTAACATTAAATGTAATTGAAAATATTTTGATAATGGATTGAATTTAAAAAAAGAAAATAAATTTTTGAAAGCATTTTTATTTGTAACACTAGGCAACAACAAAAATTTTTTTTTTTGTATCTTTACCAATTTTGTTCAAATTATACTGATTTTTGGCTGAGAAAAAAGAAAATGACAACAGAAATTTTTTATTAGCCTTAGTTTCTGAGATATACAATAGCAATAAATTTTTATTTTAGTTAATTTGAAACAGAGCAGTTTGACATGTAATTTACATATTCTAATAATATTTAAAGTACATTTGATTTTTTTTTACAGATATATTCTAACAGTTTTAAACAAAGAAATCATGATTATCAAGCTAATAGGTAGAGATATGATTACGGGGTATTGTCACGAGATCATGATCTTTTTGCTTTCCTTTTGTAGACAAGTTCTGGAGCATTCCTAAACACAAACTAACAGTAATCTGCTTTGCCTCTTTCCAATGACCCTGATATTTTTGTTCCATTACAGAAATAACTTGGTGAAACCTTTCCCCATGTTCATCACTAACAGCTCCACAACTGGGGGGGGGGGGGGGAAGAATTCTAGGTGTGAGTGGAGGAAATAAATCTTGAAGGAACATGTCCAAGTTGGTGGTATTTTTGCAGAAGTACTGTTACCAATTGAATGTAGTTATCATCTCTTTTGTTGCCTCAAAATCCACAAATCACTTCCTTAAGAGCTTCCCAAATTTCCTTTTCTTGCCCATTTAAAACGTTGTCAAATGCAGGATCCTTCATAATTTGACATATTTTGGCCCAACAAAAATACCCTCTTTAACTTTTGCATCACTTATTTTTAGAAAATTCTTTCTTAAATAGCCATTGTGCAGTAATATAGCTTTCTAACTTAGCTTAAAGGAGTCTATGAATAATCTCCATTTAGTTGGAGTTCATATTATAACAATACATTGCAAAAAGCAAGATTACTTTTCTTCTCAAAAAAAGAAAGCAGATTCTGCTGCTGTTTTCTGTAATGTGAAGCCTTAACATTAAATTAGAGAAGGTTCCACTACTTTAGTCTTGACCCTAGAAGTTCTGCCTTTTTCTGTGACAAGTCCAGATTTTAAACAAGATCACTTAATTCTGCTTGACTCAGTCAGTGTGGTACATTATCTGTTAACACAAAATCAGGATCATTTAATGTGGAAGGCTTGTTTTCTTCTTTTTCTTCTATTTCTACTTCATTTCTGCCTTTATTTTCTGCTTCTAACTCACAACTTTGTGGTGGAGTAGGAACTGGTAAACTATGCGAATGTGGAATAGGTCGAATGGCAGATTGAAGATTAGGATATTTAACTGTTTCTATTTTCTTCATTGACAAACCTGCCTTAATGTGTAAGGTCAAGCAGAAATAGCAGTTACCTGTATGGTTTTTAGGCTCCCTTCATACAATAGGAACAACAAAAACCAAAGGTCTTTTAAATCCAAAGATTTATTTTTGAACCATTCTCATAGTATAACCAAACAAGAGCTACAGCATATATGAGGAGCTCATGACTTATCCTGGTCCACTACCTTTATACCAATGTAATTCTGGTAAGCAGTCTTTTACAAGAGGTTTCATAGTTCTTTTCTGTGAGGAAAATATTATTTTACCACTAATGTAACAAAAATTGTCTACTAAATTTACACACTTCCTGGGAATGTTGATTTGTCAAATTTTACACTAGTAAATGAAAAAAAAAACTAAGAATAGATTAAACCAGAAACTTTAGCAAATACACATAACTAATATCACAAGTTTTAAACATGAGTAAAACATTATAGATATTTTTTTTCTAAAAATTGAAAATTTATACCCTTGAGAGAAAATTTCTGCGTTTATTTCTTAAACTAGAGCTAATATGTCATTTTTGAATTCAGCTTGTGGAAATACATAAGAAATAACTAATTTTGCTTCCAAAACAAAATCACTGTTGTCACTCTTGTCACTGTTGTCACTCTTGTCACTGTTGTTAATTTATGATTATAATGATTTAAAAGATTAAAGTCTTTTTTTTTGAAGCAGTTCATTTATATATATATATATATATATATATATATATATATATATTATATATATATATATAATATATATATATATATAATATATATATATATATATATATATATATATATATATATATATATTATATATATATATATAAATATATATATAAATGATATATATATATATATATATATATATATATATATGTATATCAATATATATATATATATATATATAAATATATATATATATAATAAATATGTATATCAATATATATATATATATTGATATACATATATATATATATATATATATATATATATATATATATATATATATATATATATATATATATATATATATATATATATATCAATATATATATATATCAATATATATATATAAATGTATATATATATATATATATATATATATATATATATATATATATATATATATATATATATATATATATATATATATATATATATATATATATATATATATATATATATATATATGTATATCAATATATATTATAAATATATATATATATATATATATATATATATATATATATATAAATATGTATATCAATATATATATTGATAAACCTATTGAAGGAGAAACAGCCTGTAGGAGAAAACAGATAATAAGTGTAATTACTAATTTATTACTGCTCTGTTCAATAAAAACACTGATGACTCTATTCTATGAAAAAACAAAAACTAAAGTCATGGATTTAAAAAAATATATCTATATTGAAGATTAGTTTATTTGTGAACATAACCCTGTTTTAGTTTCCTGTTGTAAGTTCAAATCTTTTTATAAAACAATAGTTTGGTTTAAACCAACATTTTTTTAATTGGTTTAAACCATGGTTTAAACCATTTGGTTAAAACCATGCAACCCTGTCCTGTATACAGCAATCTTCGGTATTTTTTGCATCTTTCAATGTACTTTTTTTCACAATTTAACGATTTCCATCTTAGATCAATCGAGTTTAAAAAAAGAAGTTCTTTTTTTTTTATTCTGTCTCTGTTGCTGAATACACTTTAACAATGAAAAAATTTGAATAAATTGGAAAATCAAAATATCCTTTATGAATCAATCAACAATAAACATGATGTTTCGAAAAAGTTTTTCTAGATCTTTTGTTAGTCAGTGACCATTTTTTTTTGTCAGTCTTGTGAATTTTGAAATATTAAAATGTTGAAATTCTGCTAATTAGGTTCAGTATTGTGAAAGTCCTGAGACTGAGTTATTGCAAAATTATCAGTCAAAAGCAATCTTATTTTTGCCAGTATGTTTATGTTATCAGAATGATTCATTGTCAGCATGAATTTTCAGTTTGCAAGTAGAAAAATTGGAAATAATAATTAAAATAAAAAGTTCATAATTTGTCATCTGGTCACTTGACCGGGGCAAGATGACTTATTATGCAATTTCTGCCTCCAATTTTATAAAGTTTTAAAAACTATCAAATAAAATCAGTATTATCTTCCTTGGTAAAATAACTTTTTAGATTTTCACACTGACCACCTAATTTCCATGTCATTTGCAATCTTTTTATAATTAAAGATTTTGAAACTCTTTTTATAATTGCAATGATCCTGATTTTGAAATTGAGCTAAAAATTGATATCTGTAATTAAATAAATTGAGTAAGTTACTTTACTTATTGTCACTTTAATTGTCCTTTTTGGTGGGAAAGCGTTTTTTATTTAGAGTAAAAAAACTTATTATCAGAGATGGAGTTTTTAAAACTCCATCTCTGATAATATTTTTTGTGAAATTGTAAAACATTTGTTATAAAATAGTTTTTAAACAATACTTATTTACAAAATTATGTAGATGTTAATTAGCCTACTAAAAGAAAATCTTTTGATTCTTTTTTAAACTCAATGAGTACGATTGTTAATGATACTAATTGCATGTCTGTGTTTGTTTGAAAAAGGACTTAACTACATTATCGTTATGTTCAAGTTAAGTACATATGTGTTCAAGTTAGCATTTGAAAGTTGAAAGAAGTATTGAGGTTGACGTGTGTATATGTTTTCAAAGTTTTTTTGTAAACTATTGACAAGGCGCGATAGGGGAGTGTGTGGGTGTGACACCCCCTCATCAATGATTTTTCCGTTCATTTAGTCAGCAAATTTGACCCTTTTTGAATAGTTAGTCGGCAAATGTAGACCCTTTCAACAAGTTTTTCGGTAAACTTAGACAGTCAGTCGGCAAATGTCGTTATGCAACAGTCGACAAATTTTAAAAAACGAGGACCTTTTTTTTTTTCTTTTAGTGGGCAAAAGTTGTAATGACAACCCCCCCCCCCCGCCACGTGACACCTACTCGCGCCGGCCCTGACTATTGAGTGGTGAATAAAATCCTGTCCTCTTACAGACAAAATCAAAGTAATTGCTATGTTTATAGTCTACCGGTATGTTTATAGCAGAGTCTGCCGGTGTGTTTATAATAGAGTCTGTCGGTAGTCTGCCGGTATGTTTAGATATTTATACCATTTCGCAACGCAAATACTGCTTGACTAGGATGGCTTGAGTCTTTACAAAATATTATTTTTGAGCTGCACTAAAAAACACGGATTCTTTAATTTTAGAAAATCGGCACATCTTTTTAATAAATAAAAAAGAAAAGTCTACTTATAACGGGGAGTGTTGACACCTTCAATAAATGCTTATTTTAAAACTGAAGATTTTAGCTTATCAATGTTATCATTAATAATCTTTTTTTTTTTGGCAATTCTTAAAAGATGGTCTTTACTATTCAGTTTAATAAAAGACGGTTCATTTAAAACCTAATAAAATTCTTTTTATAAAAGACCTTCTTTTTATAAAATACAAAATTATTTTGTTAACGCTTATTTTAAAATAGCATTTTTTTTAGAGGTCGGGACTGTCATTTTGGAATCATTACACATTGGACACAGAAATTATATGGGAAACCTTACTGAAATGGATAAAACTAAAAGAACACATGTGTTTGACAACTTGTACAAAACTGTACAAGCTCACAAAAAGGGAGTGACACTAAATGTAGAAAATTTCTCAAGTTAAAAAAAAACTTGAATGAAACTTGATTGCAAAAAAGTCAACAACTTGATTGTTAAAAAACTCTTAACTTAAATGCAACGATATGAAAAACAAACAAATTCCACTAACCAAAAAGTAGATCTATTATGCTAATTTATAGGAATATAGTTTAATCAAAAAGTAGATTCTTTGTTATGTAAGTTTATATGAATACAATTTAGCGAAAAAGTAGATCTGTTATTCTAATTTACATGAATACAGTTTAACCAAAAAGATAATTCTATTAACATACATGTCTACTAAAGTACGTATATAGTAGGAACGACACATGTTATAAAAACTAATGTGCATGTCAATTAGAAACGATACATGTTATAGAAACTAATGTGTCTATTAAAAACGATCATGTTGTAGAAAGTAATGCGCAGGTCTATTAGAAACAATAGATGTTATATTAAAAACGATACATGTTGCAGAAAGTAATGTGCATTAGGAAAAAAGATTAAATCATTAGTAATCATTTTAACCATTTTTAGAACACAGCGCACAGAGAGAGAGTTTAAATTTGAGATTAATAATAATGTAATAGTATCATACCATTATGTTATAATAGTATACTATTATTAAATATATATTGTATAAGGTTTGAATATAATTACATGAAAAAATTGTTGTTATTTTATAGAATACCTGAAAATCGAAAACGAAGTTATAGATGAAAATCGTAGAGCATGCTCTGTGTTTTTACAAGAACTTTCGGATTTCCTCAGTTATAACTCACAATTTCCTCGAACTTAATAAAAAATTATTGTACAATAAAATAATTAATTATTGTTATTAATTACTGAGGTATCGTTTTTTTTGTTGTTTTTTTATTTCAATTTCCTTAACTTTTTTGCGATAAAACAAAATCAGCGAGCACTCGACATAAAAAAATTGTTAGTTAAGTACAGAGCTTCTATATAATAAAATATAAGAGAAGCGTTTATATTTCTAATTTATATAATACTTTACTACTTGTGTACGGTTTTGGAGATAAGATGTGTTTTAGACCTTGTTCTTCAAGGTTCGTGTTTCGGAGTTATAGAGTTAAGAGAGGGTTGTAACCACAACTAAAGTAGCCTCGGCTTTTGCACAATGGGGCCTAACAAAGGAAAAAATAGCCAAAAATCATAAAAAAGAAGTTTTATTTTTTTTTTTAACTTTAAGTGCCAATTTTATATCCTGCATCTAAAACCAATTAGTTTGGATTTAAAAAAAGTTGGATGTTGAGTAATCATTAGATTCAAATTAATACTGACAAATTTGTGTTAAAATTCCTATTTCGAGTTTATTTTAATTCGTAACTTTAAAGCATATTAATTTATATATTGGTGTAAAGATAATTTAAAAGTCTATCAATATATGAAATAAAATTATTTTAATTTTATTTATTTCAAATAAAAAAATATAGATTTATAGTGTTTTTAGTTTGTTTATAACTTAAAAGCTAGAGAAATAATTTCGCTGTTTCTGGCCGGTGGAAATCTAACTTGTAATAAATACTTGAAACTTAATTCAATCAAATTTGATATAAACTTAGTCTGTCTTGTACTGTTTGATACATTAGGTTTTTCGGTTAAAAAACTTTTTTTTCGTATTTTTGTATTTTTTTTTCTAAAAAAGAAGACAGATGGCATTTCTATCAATAAACAATAATGCTTTCGTAATTCAAAAAGAAAAGTTCAAAGAAATAAAACCGTGAGTTGTGTAAAAGCATTTTAAAATGATTATTAAGTATAGTGAAATTGTTTCAGTTATAAAACAAAATGATAAATATTATCTAACTATGGAAAAATGCTTGTTGCTTTGTGAAGAAAAACTTAAAAGAGACCTAACTATATTAGTAGAAAAATATGTTATAACACAAAAAATAAAAAATATAAAAATACGATACAACGAACATCGGAGAAAGCAAGGTTATTCTTCTGCAAGATTCATGAATTACCATGGAAGTTGGCTTCAAACTGAATGCGAGCTTTCAATAGAACTTAAATGTGACCCTCAGCCCAGTTCTAAAAAAAAGAAAAGAAGAAGACCAACTATGTCATTTTCGGAGATGTCTGGCAGATCCAAACGCCGAGTTGTTGCTAATCTTGTACCTAATAACGAACCCGAAACAGTAATGTACCTAAGAATTGCTGCAACCGTCGCTGCACAACATGATAAAAAAGATTTGTCTCATTTAATCAAACAAATTATTCAAAATCAAAATTTGGCAGCTGTATTGAATAAGATTAACTCTGAAATTGTGAGAATACCACCTGAACAAGTTTATATCGTTTTTTTTTTATACGAATTTGTCCGAAGATCAGTATAATCAAGTAAGATTTGCAGCTAAAACTCAAGGTGGTGATATTTTCCCACCTTATAAATTGGTATCAGCTGAAAAATCTCAATGTTATCCATGGAGGAGACGCTCCACTCCACACCACTCCCCTCTGTTGCTGCGATCCCTTATATAATAATGCATTAAGTTTTACTTTAATTTTTTTTTTAATTTTTTTTTATATAAACTGTAACCTTTTGTTAAAAAATGTAATAACTTTTTTATTGTATATTTATATATATATATATATATATATATATATATATATATATATATATATATATATATATATATATATATATATATATTGAAATAAATAATTTTGTAAAAAGTGAAAAAAAAATCACTGAACGTCACTTTATTGCTAAATGCTTATCAGACTCTATTTTGAAAATAACGATCACAATTCTTTCAAAAATCATTTGATTATTTTTTCATTCAATTTATGATACTCTTTTCTATAACTGTGCAAAATTTCAAATCGATTGGCAGTCTTTTTGATTTTTGGCCATTTTTCCGTTGTTAGGCCCTATTGTGTTTTGGGAGGTGAATTATCATTAAAAAGATAATAAAATCTTATATACTATTACTGAACTGCTTATATATTATTGATGAACTTGATAGTGCTCACTCGTCTGTGTTGACACAGAACTCTCGACAGTCATTAAAGCGAAGGTAGTAGCGAGAAAGAGTCTCTCTACGCGTTTTTATAAAGAACCATAGAAAACATATGCATAATATGTAATAAAAAAAAGTCATTTAAAATTAAGCATATGTAAAAATACCATTTTAATAGCATTGCGTATTGTAACTAACGTCTGTAAGTTTAGTTTTGTTGAGTTAAGTTTGCGGGCGTTATATGTAAGTTGCGGGCGGTATATGTAAGTTTGCGGGCGGTATATTGAGTTGAGTTTGTGGGCGGTATATTGAGTTAAGTTTGCGGGCGGTATATGTAACGATATCTTATAGGATAAGAAAACTTTAAAACTTTGTTTTAGCAATTAGAAGTCTTTTTTGCCATGTTTGCTAAAAATATATACTGCAAGATTGAAAAATGTGTTATGCTGAAGGATAGATTTAAACCCCATAAAAAAGATACTGATGACTGCGCACTAAACCCTTAAGCGCACAAAATCCTAAGCGCACTAAAAAATATACGTTTCAGCAAAAACCAAACCATTTTATAAATCTCTTATTTCTATTTTTTTTTTACATTTTCGTCATCGTTATAATAAATTATTTACAATATATTCATTTTGATAGATATGACAAGAGATGGCAGAAGACAAAAGTCTTATCATCCAGCCCCGTTATATCATTTACATATCAAACAAAGAAAAAATTATCTATCATATAAGAAAATACTTATATATATATATATATGTTTTTTCTTATATATATATATATATATATATATATATATATATATATATATATATATATATATATATATATATATATATATGTATATATATATATACAGGGCCGCCGCGTGGGGAGGGTCACTGGGTACTTTTTACCTGGGCGCAGGATCAGAAGGGGCGCAAAAATGAAAACTTTTTTATTATTTTATTATAAAATAGATACACAGGGCTTTAATGAAAAACTCTTTAAACTGGTAACGTAAAAATAAATTGTTAACTCAAACCGTTACGAGAAAATACTTTTAAGGGCTGCTAGGTTAAAAAAGAACATATATAATCAAATAAATATATATATATATATATATATATATATATATATATATATATATATATATATATATATATATATATATATGTATATATATATATATATATATATATATATATATATATATATATATATATATATATATGTATATATATATATATATATATATATATATATATATAATATATATATATATATATATATATATATATATATATATATATATATATATATATATATATATATATATATATATATATATATATATATATATGTATATATAGATATAGATCATTTTTGAAGAGTCGTTTTAGACTCTTCAAAAATTATCAATGATGGCGATAACGGCAATTTTCTTGTAACTCTAGAGCTTCTTGCAAAACACAACAAGACTCTTTAGTTACATGAGAAAGAAGTTTCCTTGTGTCAACATGAAGGTAAACAAATTATTGTGCATTTTTTTGTTTGGAGTTCCTAAAATGAATTTATAAAAAAGTGCGGAAGAATCGTCCACGGTGCCATCATTAAAGATGCACATATAGTAATTTACTATTTTATTCTTGTCGACGGAAAGCCTGACGTTTCTTATACTGAGCAAATTGCATTTGTTCTCCGATTTGTCTACAATGGTATTGATAAAAGACAGGTAGTTAATTAGCGCTTTCTTAAGGTCGAAAATCTTAAACAAAAGAAATTTGTGGATATTGCCAAGATAATTATGGATTTCTAGGATCAAAATGACATCAATCTGAAGAACTGTGGAGGTCAAGGGTACAACAACGGTGCCAACATGTCTGGTAGGTACAAAGGAGTAAAAGCGATCATCCTTCAGAGAAATCCTGAAGCTTTCTACATGCTATGCAGCGCTCATAACATTAACCTAGCTGGTGTTCATTCCCTTGAATCTTCTGTAGAAATGAAGAACTAATGTGGCAGGATTCAGTTACTCAACAATCTTTTTAGTGGAAGCCCTATACAATGTGAAATCTTGACCAAAACAACTGGTTTGTCTCTTCATTAAATCTCACAAACCCAATGGAGTGCACGGATTGAGACTTTGAAGCCGTTGGTTAAGCAACTTAGAGAAGTTATTTTTTCTTTGCAGAAACTTCAGGAACTTGATTTAACTGCTGATCTGTTGAATGAAGTAAAATCTTTGGAGAAATGGATTTATTCATTTGAGTTTATTATCATGACAACCTTCTGGTTCGAAGCGCGCTAGGCAATTTTCAGAGTGTCATTTCAATCAGGAAACATTACTTTAGATGAAGAGATGAAGCTAATGAGGGTTCCTACCGAGGATCTTATGAATTTAGATATTCTTGGCCCGAATTAATTAATGAAGGACATTTGGTTACCTCCGGGCATAATTTAAACCAAAATTTGGACATTTGGTCCAAATTTTGGTTTAAATTATGCCCGTAGAGTGAAATTCACATGAATCAATTAAAATATCTATTACATTTAAAACTTATAGTTACTCGCAATTTAATAAAGTTCAGTAACTTGTCAAGTTATGTTTCTTTTTTACTTTTATTTCAAATTTATTTTTATTTTTATAAAACTATTTAGAAGCCTCCTTGACTGTATTTACTCCCTCGGCCTTTAAAAGTGAATTTAGTTAAAAAAAAAAAAAAAGCCAGTATTTGGACAATACCTAAACTTTTTTGAATTAGATCAATATGACAGGGCGCTAGAAAAGTTTTGACCACGGGCGTCATAAAGGGTAGCGGCGGGCCTGTATATATATATATATAAAATATATAAATATATATAAATATATATATATATATATATAT